CTTCCTACTTCTCTTAAATCACCTATTTTTACTTTAGAGGACAAACGACCCTTTCCCTTGGCCCTTTGGTATCATTTTAATGCTATTTGGAACTGCTACGTTTTCTTTCTGGGAACAATAAAAAAGTCAAAGTTATATTTTCAAACATGAGCAGGCTGAGATTTTTCTACTGAGAAGGACTGAAAACAAACCTAAGAATAGTTCCCGAGGGGGGAAAGTCCAACTTTTAAAATAAGCTGCACAAGTGGCCAAAGAAAACAAACCAACAGATCAGGGCTTTTTCCCACCCTGATCATTCTCTTGCCCTTGCTAGCATCAGTCACCAGGCAGCCTGGCTACACTCAGGAAAAGTTCAACTCATTAACCAGCCCACCCCCACTTGCTACTTCCGCTTGGGGAATTCACCAGAGCTGGCTCATTTAGAAGATATTCCCATTAGCTATTCCTTAAATCCCCAAACAGAAAGTTCAGAAGCCTGAGATAAGGTGCTGCCAAGCAAGAAACGCAACAAAGCCATGCCAAGCAGGAAGCAACGCCTTGCCAAGCAGGAAGCAAGGCCGTGTTAAGAAAGTTAAGTCTCTCATCAACTCGGAAGCTCCAGGAGTGGGGTTAGAAAGCAGAGTCCTTATGAACCCCAGGGGAAAATAAAGAAAATTAATACACACACACACACACACACACACACACACTCACACTTCTTTCTTCCTTGGTAATAAATAGGCCATCTACTTCCCATGAGTAAGAATTCAAAATGTCAACTCAACCTAAACTCCCTTTATATTTGCTCATCACTGTCACAAAACCAATAGTTCCTATACCTCAGCTTTCCACTTTGGTCAAAATTCTGATACCTAAGGATGTGTTCTCTCTGGTTTGATTTTGGTGAGTGTTTTGTTTTTGCTTTGTTTTAAGACAAAGCCCCTGTGCAACCCAAGCTGTTCTCAGACTCACTATGTAGCCATGGCTGGCCTTGAACTCATGATCCTTCTTGCCTCCACTTTCCAAGTTCTACAGCTATTTGCCATAACACCCAGATGTGTGTGTGGATTGTGGGGGAACCTCATCATATTACTTTTACTAGCCTTGAACTTATTATGTAGCCCAAACAGACCTTGAGTTGACAGTCCTCCTGCCTCAGCATACCAAACTCTGGGTTTCAAGCCTGTGACACCACACCAGCTAGGGTACACTTTCCTGAGATGTTCAGGAGACTCTTTTCCACAATACAGTCTTGTCCACGTTTTCCAGGGCAGCACTGCCCCTACCCTAGCTGGATGTCTGGAGCTGCCTACAAATCCCAACTAGGAAGTGAATTGAGAGGTAAGCAGACCAATTTTATATTGAATGTACTTATGCTTTGATCAAACAAGGAATGTCATTCTGCAATGTGGTGGTACACTGATAGCCATCCTCTTTTATCATTTGGAAGTGGAAAAGAAGTGTTTGCACACTATAAATAAGAGTGAATCTTTACTAGGATTTTCTTCCTTTACCCACGTCTATAATGATGATTTAGATGTCCTCAGAGTAGGAATTTGGAGGTTCTGAGGCTTTTCAAAATCCAAAAATAAGCAGTAAAACAAGCCTATTCCAGAGGTAGGAGAATGGGGAGCTCCACTCCAGGAGGCAGGAGGGGAGACCACTGCCTGTACTTCCCAGTTACACTCACATCTTTAGAGACTATTTATTTCGCCACACATGGTTATGGCCAGGGCTACTTTCCCCCTTTCCCAGCAATCTGCCTTCTCTACCGGACAGTCTCGATCAGAGTTCTCGCGCTTGTCTCAGTGACCCTGCATCCTCTGGTGGACCCTTATTCTCTCAGGAGTACTAAGTGGCTAAAATCCTCAGTGTAAAGGGTGTGGAGGGAAAGAGAGAGGACTTGAAGACAGTGCTAACGAAGCAGGGATGCGTGGCACCAGGTGGGCAGCCTAAGGTGTCCTGCGTATGCATCCTCTCCTCTTCTTTAATTTAACCCATCACATTCTTGTGGGGCATTCCTTCTCCCAGGGCCGAGATCCTCAAGGGTCTGGATCAGCCTGGGCAGAAAACTGAAAACTGGATACATCTTTAGAGCTTGGGAGACTTAGTACAGACCGAGGCACCACTAAGCAGCTTGTTTCTCGTAGAATTTGTTATATTTGAAGGGAATTAATATCCAAAACCCCAACCATTTAAGTCTCATCTAATTTCCCATTCTGTAACGTGCATTCTTCCCACCAGCCTGGTCCCAGAGCTGAGTCAGTCCCAAATGAACACATAGGACGCTATATTAATTATGAAGCCATTGGCCATTTGTTTGGTTTCTTATTGGCTAGCTCTGACTTAATTATTAACCCATAACTGCTAATCTGAGTATTTTCACGTGGTTATCTTTATCTTGTTTTTTTAAGTCTATGTATATTTTTAAACATGTTGTAAACCTTTTAGAGGTTTTTTATCTTAATTTGACTTTATTATATGTTTTTATGGTTTTTTGCCATGTGTCTTTTAGCTGTTAAAAATCATGGCTGTTTTAATTGCTGTTTTTTTTTAAGGTGATGGGCATAAGTTTACCACCAGCACTGGCTATGTAAGTCTTTGTTTGTCTCTAGTAAAACAGAGGCCACCCGAGAAAATGTTGTCACCAAGAAGCCATTTTTCATTTTGTTTTGTTTTTTGAAATCTCCTTTTAAGCTTTCGTTAAGTGGAAATTTGTGCCCCAAGTCCGGGGGTTACCTTTCCACTCATCTTCCACGACCCAGCAAAAGTGATGGCCCCTCACTAGTGCCAGACGGGATGAATCAGATGATGCAACTACAGAAGGCTGGCTACCCCAGCCCCTAACACACACACACACACACACACACACACACACACACACACACACACACACACCAAGCTTCCCCAGGATGTCTCTTTATGGCTTCTCCAGCAACCTGAGCAAGAAAAGAAAAGCAACTCCATCAGCTCCCAGTACCCACTCACAGGATTTTCAGGTCTAGTCACAGGTAAGAAAGGAAATATCCTGGGAGAATGCAGGATGGTAGGGTGAGTGGATTTGGAATAACACACCTCCCATTATATTTGTGTGTTTCTTTAGAAATAATGTATATGAAACCCTCTTTATTTACAAATCTTTTCTACCACTGCTCTAATCTTTCTTTCTTATATAGAGTTCTTTACCTAAAGTCCTTTCGGTATAAATTTAGACTACACATTTTGCCCTTTGGCCTCAGGGAAAGCTTGCCTCAGATCAGGATCTTTTGACGATTGTGACTTAGAGTCAGCACCTCCTTCCAGGCAGGGCACAGTTGCCTTGTCTGTTATCTTCCCTTTCCCATTTACTTTTTATTTGCTGAGGAGTCAGGACCTGTCCTCATGGCATCCTTTCCCTGTTGTTTACTGTTCTGGGTCTTTTACCAGCCCCCATGCCTCAGACCCTTAGCAGAAAGCTTCAGCAATCAAGGGGCTTCAGGAAGAAGGACAGACTGGGGAGTGGGGAAGAGCAGAGGCCTCAGCATGGGCAAACAATGGAAGGCACCACTGTGGTCTGGGCAATCAATGGAGAGGGCCCTGGAGATTGGTTGCCTGGGTTTCAACATCGTATCTCTATGCAGTTAGGTGAGATGAAACCTGGTTTGAAAGATAGGCAGACAGACAGACAGATACGTGATAGGTAGACAGATGATAGACAGATAAATGGATGATAGATGATAGGTAAACATTAGATAGATAGATAGATAGATAGATAGATAGATAGATAGATAGATAGATAGATAGATCCTGGTTCCTTAATTTCCTCATCCCTCATCTATAAAACAGGGATAGGGTACACTTTTCACAAATTGTGGAATTAAAAAGCAATACAAACAAACATAGCAATATAGTAACATGCTCAGAACAAATAGAAGAAGCACCCAGAATGTTAGAGAGTATAATTGGGGTCTAGCTCATTAAGTAAGTATTGCGTCCCAACATCACCAATGTTAAAGCTAGAAACTTATTTATGAAAAAAATCCATAAATGCAAATGTATGATTGAGGGCTATTTATGATTAATTTGCAAAAATAATTGTTAGTTACTTAATCAACATGTCTGGTAAATTTTAAGATTTAAGTCAATGTACATGATTTCTTTTTCCATTTTGAGATGGTGTCTTACACTTGTCAAGGCTGGAACACAGGGTGGCCTCCAACCCCTGTGTTAGCCTCCCAAATGTCAGGATGTTGTATATGTGTCACACTCACTTTACTATGCTTTTTAAAAAATATTTGTAATTTATATGTAGACAGACAGACAGATTATGTCTGAACACAACTTACAGCTTTTAGTCTTATCTAAATTTTAAATAAGCAGTGTGTGGTGTTATCTTTCTACATGTGCTGCACAATAACAACCATATTTAGATAAATAAAATGAGATGAAGGATTGAGATAGTGACAATATCTAGAAAATGCAAGATGGCAAGAAGGTAGAAGGGTAAATTTTTATGTCCTGCTTAATCCTATTTTGTAGAAACAAGGCGTTATTTAGAATAGATGAGTGAAGGGTTCTTGTTACTTAATGTGTGAATGAACATACACTTCATGAATCTCTCCGCTGTACCATAGTGCCTGTTGGGATGGGCTAAAGTAGCAGGTGAATGATGAGAAAGTGGGTGGGTGCTGATGCATTAATGACATCTATGCATGAGAAAACTGAGAGTGATAGATCATGACTAATAATATATTTAGAGTTTGCTTGTGTTTATGAAATGAATTTCTACACATGCGTGATAATAGTAATTAGACTTTATGACACAGGAATTAAGATCACACATTTGCATAATACTTAATAAAGTTGCATACAAGCTATAAGAGCCTAGAAAAAGGATTAGCTCAAAGGGATAGAGTTTCTGATATCACTACGAAAGTTTTTTTTTAATGTGGTGGGCATTTCCAGAAAACATTTTGGATGGGGTTGAGGATTTCCTCTTTACCAGATTTTGATAATAATGTCCCATGACTCATAGGAAACAAGCTCCCTATAAAGAGGCTCTAGAAGAAGCAATACTCAGTGGTCCTTGGCTGACTACAAATCAAAACTGCTAGAAGAACGGCGAGATAGAAGCAGCGGCAATACACCTGAGAAATCCAACCCCCAGCAACCATTCCACAAAGCAGTAAGTGCAGATTCCAAGCCAGAAAAGTCTTGGGTCCAAAACATAGATTTATATGTGTGTGCACAAACTCAAAAGGCCTTCTGATAAAAAGATCTGTCTAAACTGTTAGAGCATTGTCATTAAAGCCTACCTTTTCTCTTTGTTTAAAATGATGAAAATCTTAAAATTGCCTCTATTTGCCATGGCAAATGTCTTTGAACAAGTAAGGAGGTACAGGAATCCTTACCTGAAACCCATGGTGGTGCCTTAAATGCTGTGATAGAAGGGTGTGGGTAACACACACTTAGAATTTCCTTCTGTGACTAATTCTGCACTTTTTCTCATCAGAAAAAGATCTCCAGTCCAGTCTCTGGGTGAGAGGAACTGCCGGAGTCATGAATGCCTCATGGTTTGTCTCCACTCTCACTTTTGGTAAGCTGGCATCATTGGAGACTAGGGTCTCTAATCATCACCCTACTGAGTCTTAAAATAGGTTATTTTGTTGTGTGGGGCTATTCTGTGTTTGTAGGGGCTTTAGCAGGACTGTTGACCTCTCCCTGTAGGGTTCTGCCCTCTGGTAGGAATAGTTAGTTTCCTTACATGGGAAGGATGGATCCTAAGTGCCCTATTCAGGCATTGTGAAGATTCATTCATTTGGTTCCTGAAATGGGGCTCAATAGTGTAACACAGCACTTCTAACTTCCAGTGTACTGCAAAGTGGGTGCGTTATATTGTGGTTCTTACAAAGCACTAGTGGGTAGCCAGTCACACAGTGATACACAGACCCTTCAGATGTTCTTCTTTTTGCTTTTAAAAGCAATAGTTTGGGCCATCACAAAGACCCCTATAAGCCAAAACTAAGACAACATAAAGCAGGACTAAACTTTGCTATTCCTTTCTTGACCCAACCCAGTGCTTCTCATTGGAGAGAGCATAGCTTGGTACTACAACACCTCCATGGAACTCATGACATACGATGAAGCCAGTGCATACTGTCAACAGAGGTACACACATTTGGTGGCAATTCAGAACAAAGAAGAGATCAATTACCTAAACTCCAAGCTGAAATACTCACCAAGTTATTACTGGATCGGAATCAGAAAAGTTGACAACGTTTGGGTCTGGGTGGGGACCCAAAAGCCTCTGACAGAGGAGGCTCAGAACTGGGCACCAGGTGAGCCAAACAACAAGCAAAGAAATGAGGACTGTGTAGAAATCTACATCAAAAGACGCAATGACCCAGGCATGTGGAATGACGAAAGATGTGACAAAAAGAAACTGGCTCTGTGCTACACAGGTATGAAGTTTCTGGATGGTGGAAGGCTGGTTCTGTGTAGAAGCAGCCTGGCATATAACAGTATGCAAAATAATTGGTCTCTGCTGTGCACATTTTCTGTTTTTAAAGAGATGATTATAAAATATTCCAGCAATAATGATGCTATTTTTAATTATTTGTGTGAATAAAGGCAGGAATGTGTGGGTATATGTATACACATATGCATATATAGGTATATATACAAAGTATGTATACTCAGATACTGGGCATGTTTTAGTTGTTTGTGGCATGAAGCTATCTTTAGAGATGTTATAAATTAATTTTTCTTGTTTGGTGCCAAGAAGAGCTATTCTACTGATGTCCATATATTATCACTAAGTTATACAATAGCCTGGAACTTGGACTGGCCGTGTCAGTAAAACTCTTGAGCATTAATGCCATGAGTGTTATCTGGATTACACAGATTATAGACTAAAAGCAAATAGAAAACCTCACAATACGCACTATAATAATTGATTGTCCTCATCTGGGTTGTGTTTTCTGTAGCTTCCTGTAACCCTGCATCCTGCAGCGGTCATGGTGAATGTGTAGAGACTATCAACAGTTACACTTGCAAGTGCCACCCTGGCTTCCTTGGACCCAACTGTGAGCAAGGTAAGTCTTGTCCTCACTTGTTCCTTCTCCAAAGATGGTAAACACCCTCTCGTGGTCCAGATGGCTTATCAGATGGGGCCACATGTTTCTGCTACCTGAATACACAGAGTAAAAGTACCTCAGCAGTTGAGACTATGAAGTCAGAGCCTCCTAGGTCAAACTCCAGACTTACTACTTAGTACTTATGTCACTTTGACAAAGTAGTCCTACAGAATGACTGATATTTCAGTTGTATTAAAACTAACAAGTTCATGCAACAACTAGCTGTATGAAGATAATACTAGAAACAGCTTTATAGTTTAATGGTTCCATAGAGCCCGAATCACAGGCAATATTCAATGAGCAATAATTATGGTGCCCAGTGTTCTCTTTCCTATGCAAGGTGAGAGTTGAACAAAAGTGCAACTTTTTTTTTCAGTTGTGACCTGTGAAGCACAGAAATGCCCTGACCATGGAAGCATGAACTGCATCCATCCTCTTGGCCTCTTCAGCTATAATTCCTCCTGCTCTTTCAGCTGTGAAAGGGGCTACCTTCCCAGCAGCACAGAGACCACCATGTGGTGTGTGTCCTCTGGAGAATGGAGTGTGCCTGTTCCAGCCTGTGATGGTGATTCTCCAAATAAGCTAACCCTTCTCACTCCTCTTCATTGCCTTAGGTTTCTACCCAACCTATAACTTTTCCAATTAAGTTCTTTTGTTGTTTCTGGTACCTGTTTGGTTTAACATAAGATTTTTTCATTCTTTTTTTAAATGGGTATTTCTGAGGTTCTGGTGACATGTCAAGGAAGGTGTCATGGAGACAATGGAGATACATGTAGACAGCCTCATGATTTTCTCATGAACTTTTTTGTTCAGTGCTCCCATGAAATGGGACCAACTTTAGCACTGTGTTGATCAGGAGCTTCTGTATCTCTTTGTACAGTTCTCTGAAGCCATCAAAAAAAATTCATCGCCCTTTGTTTGTTAATATTGCTTTCACACTAGGTTATGAATTTTGATCTAGAGGATGTTATTATTTATATATGTAGTAAAATGTATCAGAGATAATCCAGCATAGTCAAAGCAAAAATTAATAAGAGAAGATGAAATATGAATAAAGACTAAAGCATTTGTTATGGGCCTATATGTTATCAAGAATTATTATCAAGAGTTTGAGTTACACTCTTTGAAGATGTGTTTCACCTTTATAAACCCTAATACTGTAGAAAATGAAAACATCTAAGGAATTTTCTTTGGGTAAAACTCTCTCTTCTCCTTCAACTCCTCAGTGGTTGAATGTGAAGCTATGACACACCCTGCCAATGGAGTCAACAATTGTTCCTCGAATCTTGGTAGCTTCCCATGGAACACAACCTGTACATTTGACTGTGACGAAGGGTACAGGCGAGTTGGAGCTCAGAATCTACAGTGTACCTCATCTGGCATCTGGGACAATGAGAAGCCATCATGCAAAGGTAGAGTTCTTCCATGATGAGATTCATCACATTTTCCTCAGCTAAGGCTTGGAATGGACAAGCCAGGTTTACTAATTTGAATGGGTGCTTGTGTTACAGCTGTGACCTGTGATGCCATCCCCCAGCCTCAGCATGGCTCTGTGAGCTGCAGCAACTCAACAGATGGAGAATTTGCCTTTAAGTCATCCTGCAACTTCACCTGTAAGCAAGGTTTCGTGTTGGAGGGACCAGCCCAAGTTGAATGCAGTGTAGAAGGGCAGTGGATACCACAGTTCCCAGTGTGCAAAGGTGAGGAAGAAACTGTGTCTAATACTTTCATTTATAAAACATCTGTCATCTTCTGTCTTGGGCACTGACATGACATCAGGTGTCCCCTCTGATACCAATTATGAGGGCAACAACAGTACCTTTGAGATTTTGTTTGTTTGTTTGTTTCTTTTTTATTTTTCAGTTTAAATTTAGATAAGAAACAAGGTTGCTTCACAAGTCAGTTCCAGATCCCTCTCCCTTTCCCTCCCCTCCTCCAGTGCCCTCCCCCAAACCCCCCATTATCCCCTCATTTCCCCAGGGAGGGTCAGGCCCTCCGTGGAGGTGTCCATAGTCTGTCATTTCATATACGGCAGGGCCTAGACCCTTCCCCAAGAGTTCAGGGTGAGAGTGCACCTCACATTGTTGGATGGGAGTCCAAAGACCATGTGTATACTTGGGATGGGTACTGATCTGCTGCCCAAGGCTCAATAGATTACCTAGGCCTCCTGACTGACACCCACATTCAGGGGGCCTTGATCAGTCCCATGCTGGATTCCCAGGCTGATGCCTGGGATTCATGAGTTAACCTTTGTCAAGTCAGCTGTTTCTGGGGGTTAAACCAGCACAGTCTTAATCCCTTTGGTCATCAGTCCTCCCTCTCTGTTACTGGCTTTCTTGAGTTCAGCTCAGTACTTAACCGAGGGAGTCTGCCTCTTCTTCGATCAGCCACTGAATGAAGTTTCTGTTTCCCAGACTCTCTGGCCATGGGGTTGTAGGCTGGCACTCCCCAGATCTATGTCTAAAATCCATATATGAGAGAGTACATGCCATGTTTCTCTTTTTGTGACTGGGTTACCTCACTCAGGATGGTTTCTTCTAGTGTCATCCATTTGCTGTGAATCTCAGGATTCCATTGTTTTTTTTCTGCTGAATAGTACTCCATTGTGTAAATGTACCACATTTTCTCTATCCACTCTTCAGTTGAGGGGCATCTAGGTTGTATCCAGGTTCTGGCTATTACAAATAATGCTGCTATGAACATAGTGGAACAGACATCTTTGTTGTATGAATGGGCATCTTTTGGATATATGCCAAAGAGTGGAGTTGCTGGGTCTTGTGGTAGGTTTATTCCCATTTTTCTGAGGAATCTCCATTACTGATTTCCAAAGTGGCTGAACCAGTTGGCACTCCCACCAGCAATGGAGGAGTGTCCAGCTTTCATCACATCCTCTCCAGCATAAACTGTTGTTGGTGTTTTTGATTTTAGCCATTCTGACAGGAGTGAGATGGTATCTCAGAGTTGTTTTGATTTGCATTTCCCGGATGGCTAAGGATGTTGAGCACTTTCTCAAGTGCCTCTCAGCCATTTTAGACTCCTCTATTGAAAACTCTCTATTTAGTTCTGCAGCCCACTTTTTAATTGGGTCCTTTGATGTTTTGGAGACTTGCTTCTTGAGTTCTTTGTAAATTTTGGAGATCAACCCTCTGTCAGATGTGGGATTAGTGAATATTTTTTCCCATTCTGTGGGCTGCCTTTTTGTCTTGCTGACTGTGTCCTTTGCCTTACAGAAGCATCTCAGTTTCAGGAAGTCCCATTTATTAATTGTTGATCTCACTGTCTGTGCTAGTGGTGTTATGTCCAGGAAGCTGTCTCCTGTACCAATTCATTAAAGGGTACCTCCCACTTTCTCTTCTAAGAGGTTCAGTGTGGCTGGATTTATGTTGAGGTCTTTGATCCATTTGGATTTACGTTTTGTGCCTGGCGATAGAGATGGATCGATCCGCATTCTTCTACATGCCAGCCTCCAGTTATGCCAGCACCATTTGTTGAAGATGCTTTCTTTATTCCATTGTATATTTTTAGCTTCTTTGTCAAAGATCAGATGTTCATACGTGTGTGGGTTAATATCCGGGTTTTCAATTCAATTTCATTGGTTGTTTGTTTGTTTCTAATGAATGCACGGCCAGGAGGCAGCACTGTATGCAAGTAACATGAGGAAATTGTTTTTCTTTTGTTTGTTTCTAAACTAGAGTATATTAATAGTATTAAGTTATTGGCATTGGCATAATAGAGTAGTAAGACTTCATAATATAAGAGAAATCCTATTTAGAATGTAAAATTCAGAATAAAGAAAATACTACTTGAACCTCACACTTTTATCATATACTTTTAAACTTCATAGCTAGCAGCAATGACAATGCTCCCAGCTTGACATCTGTCACAAGGATTGTTTTGGTAAAGACATAAAAGCTATAAAATTTAATTCACTTTACAGCAAGGGCAAGAATGTTCAGAGGAAGCAGCTTTCCTTATCCAGTTCTGGCATCCTCAGATCCAAATTTAGTATCGAACGAGTTCCAGGAGCAGGAACAAAACTCAAGCTAAGAGTAGGCAAAGTCTGAAGGGAAGGTTTCTTCTTTCTTGTTTTAACACCACGTGGAATCCTTCATGACTTGTTCTTTCCCATTACCCTCTCTATATATATCAGACCAATGAGGAAGTACTGAGTTCTTGCTAACAGCTGCCCATGTTAGGTTTCATTATCATGGAGATATTGGATCTCATAGGAAACACATTGCCTTCCCAGTGTGGCCCAAGAGGGGAGTGGGGTAGCAAAAAGCCCACACGTTCAGGTACATTCTTTTTAGCAATTAGTGTGTGTGTGTGTGTGTGTGTGTGTGTGTGTGTGTGTGTGTGTTTACTCCAAGGCCCATGTGTGGAGATCAGAGGACAACTTGCAGGAGTCGATTTCCTCCTCAGCATGTGGGTCCCAGAAATTAAATTTAAGTTGTTAGGACTGGCATTGAATGCGTTTACCTGCTGAGTCATCTTGCTGGCCCTCTGTGACATACTTTGAATTTCACTGTGAGAGAGAAGCTACTGAACATCTTCATGACTTAGTTACCCAAAGACACCTACTATAGCTCAATGCTCACACCTCTGAATGGCCCCTCTCTCCCAGCTGTGAAATGTGATGCTGTCCCCCAACCCCAGAACAGTTCCATGGAGTGTGTTCATGCTGCTACTGGAAAATTCACCTACAAGTCCTCATGTGCCTTTTGATGCAACAAGGGCTTTAAATTACACGGATCAGCTCAACTTGAGTGCACATCCCAGGGACAGTGGACCCAAGAGGTGCCCTCCTGCCAGGGTACTATGGAGTTCAGACTCTCAGGGTGCACATCAACTTAGCCATTTTGTGGTAAGGTTTTTCTAATTTCTACCATGGATATGTCATTCGCAGTGGTACACTGTTCAAGCCTTGAAGTTCCAGGAAAGATGAACATGAGCTGTATCGGGGCAATGGTTTTTGGCACTGTATGTGAATTTACATGTCCTGATGAATGGACACTCAATGGATCTGCAATTCTGACATGTGATGCCACAGGACACTGGTCTGGGATGCTGCCTACCTGTGAAGGTGATGCATTGATTGGCCGTGGTAGCCTGGGAGAGTAGGTTGCCGAAGGGGTGGTATATTGCTAAGGAAACTGTCCATTATGCCCAAATCAGGATGAGAGGTAATAGGGTTGGATAGAAAGAAAACAGAAAATGATGCAAACCAGTGGGACAGGTGGAATGTTTCGTTCTTACCTGTCACTCCACATCCCTCTCCTGAACTCTCCACTGACCCCTTCTGTTATGGTTTATTTCCATTGTCCTCCCTTGATGCCCTTAAGACCTTGCCCTGCTCCCTCATAGTGGAATTCTGATTCATTGGAAAGGGGAGATCCAGAGACTAAGGGAGGAAGTAAGAAGGAGAGGGAGGGAAGGAGGGAGAGAGAGACAGACAGAGGGGGGAGGGAGGGAGAGAGAGAGAGAAGGCAAGGATAGTTCAGTGGTGTGATAATGTCAAAGAGTTTGACAAGGCTGTGCTCTATCTGGGAACAGGGGGACACAGCCTCAATGGTGGTTTGAGAAGAATTGTTTAAATCCTCAGTGCCAAGTCTCTGCTTCATGCACTTGACTACATGGTGGTTCCTCTGCTGATAGTAATGAATGTGTAAAGAAAAGGCTAAATGGACAGGGAAGAAAGACTCGAAAGCCAGTTGTTGCTTATGCAGTTTCCTCTGCATTGTTCCTCAGGCCCCACTGGCCCCACCCACCCCCTGGTAGTTGCACTTTCTACGGCCGGAACCTCGCTCCTAGCATCGTCCTCATTTCTCTACTTGTTGCTGAGATACTTTCGGAAGAAAGGTAATTTCAGGCATCCACTCGGAAAAGATTATTTTGAAAAGTGTGTGTGTGTATGTGTGTGTGTGTGTATTTCTCACTTGAAATTTTATACTAGAATCTAGAAAGTAGAGCCCACTTATTAAAGAGCCCCAGTAAATGCCAGTGTAATCAAGCAAACATTTCATGATAAGGATTTTTTACTCAACTCAGTGTTAAATGGTTTAGGAAACTTATGTTGGCTGTACTAATACTGATTAACTCTAGGGGGCACTATGCACTTCATATTCCACAATGTCCTTGGAGTTGCTCAATGAGAATTATAGTGAAATGATGTCAAGTAGCAGATAATTGCTTGTAATAGTCTAGATTTATGAATGTACTTATTATAAGGAATAGGAAATATACCTGTAGTCCCTTTGGTCTACTGACTATTTAAATGTTTTTTAATTAAAATTTGAAATTTACACATTAGAAAATTTCATATAATACTATGTATTTTGTGTCCATGAAAACGAAGAAACAGACAAGATGAGCATGCAACTATTTCCTGGTGTCAGGAAGCTGCTGTGTTCTTTGGCTCTTTTATCCTCAGCATTTTACTTTAATTGCCACCAAATGTTTATTACAAGGTCCTGTAGTATTGGGAATATAATCTAGAAGAATCAAATCAATCTAATTTCCTTAAAAGCCATTAATCCAAATTAATCATTTTCTTTCTCTTGCAGCAAAGAAATTTGTTCCTGCGAGGTAAGGTGAATTCTTGTACAAAGCATGTCATTTAATACTCCATACTTTTTTCTCTGCATGTGGGAAAACAGTGCTTGACATAGTTTTCTCATGTTTCTGCAGCAGCTGCCAAAGTCTTCAATCGTTTGGCAACTATCAAGTACCTTCTCACATCATTTAAGTTCAAAACAATCAGGTATGACTTGGGCAGGTCGTGTGAAGAAGAGAAAATCCCCTTTTCCAGTAGTTTCTCCCTGAGACCCTCAAACCTGCCACTGGTTAGACAGTTCATGACAGTTCATAGAAAGTTGTCCTGTTTCTCTGAGGAAGGAGGGGGAGGAACTGAGTTCTGTCTTTCTTGTATAATTTGACTTGTGGGTGATAATGGTAGTGGTGAATGCTAGCCCCACTCAGCAATTAGATTGCTAAGCATGGATCTAAGCTAGGGACACTGAGAGGCTGGGGCTATTCCCCTATTCCTCTGAGATGAAGAAAATGAGGCACAGAGTTTTGGGTAACTTGCCTGAGTTTCCAAAGCTACTGTGCAGTGCAGCTGGGTTTCAAACCCCAGCACTTGTGTGATTCTGGAATCTGTGACCCTCAATTCTGCATTGCTTCCTGAGAATATATTTGGAAGGTCAAGACCTTCTAAATCATTTTTTCTTAATGAACAGAATTTTTGGTGTAGTTTGGGGCTTAGAGAAAAATTGAACAGAAGGTAGGTGTTTCAATTTGACTGTTCAGCCCCCTTTAATAGTATCTTTATTAGCATAGTTCTTAATGATGACCAATATAGTTGAATTACTCTTAATTAAAGCCCAAGATACACTATTCAGGGCTCGTTCTTTGGGATATACACTCCATATGACTTAACAAGTTTAAATGACTGATATCTACCATAGTGTCATTGACCAGTTTCATTGTTGTAACTGAATGACATTGGGAATTCATATCTGGACCACTCCCAAGAGAAAGTCAGCTTAAAAGATGTGTTTTATTGTTGCTTCCAGCATTCAGGATATTTGGAAGGCTTTCACACTTGCTTGTATTTGCAGGAATACAGATGCATCCTGGGAAACAGAATGATATGACGAAGATAGCAGGAAATGAACTGTCTGTGGGATCTTGGTTTCTCCTGCCTGCTTAATAACTGGGATCCTAACTCCATGTATCAAAATTCAATGACAAGATGAGCTGTCCATTAGAGAGACTCAGTTTTTTCTTTCCTAGCCAGAGAGCCAAGAACCTGCTGACCACAGAAGGTCAGGGCACTCAAAAGAGAGTGCCCCGACCAAGGCTCTAGAACAGCAAAATTCTACCCTAGTCACTCCGGAATTTGGGAAGAGAAAAGTCAGTTTGTGGCTTTTTTTCCTTTCTTGTTTCCCATACGATGTTTCAATTGTTAATGCTGTTATTTTTGTTACAGAGATAAATAATAATTATCAGTAGTTTTGAGTAAACAATATTCTATTTCCATCTTGGAGAAAAAAAGGCAAAATTGTCACATCCTCAGACCACCACGATATGGGAGTGTTGTTAGGGGTACAAGGTGCAAATCCTGCCGAGTGGTACGTGTTAGGACTGCTAGGCAGGCCTACCAACTTTATCCATGTGGGATTCAGTGGCCTCAGGAGTATTCTCAGACATTTGTTCTGTCCTTGCACTGAATCTATCATGCTGCCCATCAAGGGTCAAAGGACTTGAAGAAATCAGAAATCCTGTGACCTATGACAAGGCAAAAGTTACTTTAAATCATTTTTTTAATTGGCAAATCCTAATGTTCTGTCTGGCTGCAGTAAACTCATCTTCAAAATGAGGAATCACTACTCAGTGTGAACCCCTGTGTATTTAAGTGGAGCTGGTTTTCAGACATGGTACTGTCAGAAGAATAGAAGTTGAAGAGAGAGTTTACATGTTTGGGGCATTTTTCCCCAAAATGTGCTTTTTTTATTTCTTTCTGAAAAAAATGTTGAGGTTAAATGTTCTGAATTAATAAAAGCATAAATGCTAAAAGTGAAGGTGCATTTTAAAGTATTTGTTTGAAAGCTTGTCTAAATATGAATACACTTTGCATTTTTATTAAGGTGATTCTTAATGTGTGACAAGTAGATACCTGATTCTTGTATATTTTGTATGATTCTAAATCCATGATGAGGGTTCACCATGTAATAAATGTAGGCAGTAGATTTTTAAAGAGTAAAAGTGTCTAACAAGTCAGTCTGTAGCTGTTTTATTCTCTGTGTCCATATGTTCTAGAGGAGGGGAAAACTATGGTATGTTGTTTTACAGAGATTAAGATTCCTAAGGAATTTCACCTGTCATTGGCAATAACAAATCCTTGATCAGTAAGTGCCAAAGCTGTTCCCATCAAAAGTATCCCCACTTCAAATGGCACTCAGCACGCAGAAGGCAGAGGCAGGCAGATCTCTGTGAGTTCAAGGCCAGTCTGGTCTAAAGAGCGAGTTCCAGGACAGGACAGGCCCCAAAGCAATACAGAAAAACCCTGACTAGAAAAACAAAAACAAACAACAAGCAAAAAAAGTGTCCCAACTTCCAAATGAACATATTCAAGAAAGAGTGGTTTTGAAAAGTGCTTGCTGAATAGTGACAATGGAGAAGCCAATGGTGAATAAGTATGGCAAGCAATTCGGACCAAAGGGCATGAGAGAGGAAGACAGCAAGAGCTAGAGAAAGAAAGAGTAACTGTTGTGAAACTACACAATGTAAATGCTTATATATTTTTATCAGAAATAACTGTGTAAAATATGAATGTTGTCTTATCTGAATTTTATAGAGTATTTTAAATTATGATTTAAAATATTTTATGGTTTAAAAGTATGTATTTATTTAAATACGTCAAACTTATTGTATTCACATGTCAGTATAATGTTTGACAATAAAGTGTTTCTACTTATTCTTGTGTGTATAAGCCTTCCTAACAGTTAGGGAGCCTGCATGGGACCGACCTAGGCCCTCTGCATGTGTGCGACAGTTGTGTGGCTTGGTCTGTTTGTGAGGCTCCTTGCAGTGAGATCAGGACCTGTTCCTGGTGCTTAGCTGGATTTCGGGAACCTGTTGCCCATTCTGAATTACCTGGCCCAGCCTTGATGCAAGGGGATGAGCTTGGTCCTATCTCAACTTGATATGCTGTGTGTTGTTCAAAACCGTGGGAGCCCTGCCCCTTCCTGAATAAAGGAGGAGTGGAGAGGGAGGGAGGGCGAACAGGGGGAGAGGAGGGAAGGGAAACTGTGGTTAGTATGTAAAATAAATGACAAAAATGTTATTTAATTAAAAACCACTTTTAATTCACCTAGATAAAAATCTGTATACCAATAAAATTTACATTTTAGTTAATTTGATTGATTGTGTGTGTGTGTGTGTGTGTGTGTGTGTGTGTGTGTCTGCATTGTCACTATGACATCTGAGGTCTCAGCTCTCTCTTTCCATCAGGCAAGGACTTTTACCCACTGACCCATCTTGATGACATAAAAGCTCCTCTTTTAAAATGGAATATCAGGCAACCATGTACCTAACTCTGCAACATTTGTATTACTGTAGGATGAAACCCAGTCAATTAGCAGTTTCTTCCCAATCTCTTCTCTCCCTCCCATGGCAGTACTAATCTACATTCTATGGATTTGCCTATCCAACACATCTTATACACATGGAGTCCCTTGTGACCTTCTGTCTAGCTCTTTTTCCTTGGCATACTGTTCTCTAGGGTCCTCCATGGTGTAACCTGCATCAACACTTCATTCAGTTTACAGATAAATTATATTCTTCGTATGGATTGACCCTATTTTGTCAATCCGCCATGCAGACGATTGTCCGTGAGTTTCTTTCCACATTGCGACTACTGTGAATAATGCTGTAGTGAAAACTTGAGTGCAACTGTTAAGGTGCAACCTTTTCTCCATCCCCTTTAGCATTTATCTGGAGGCAGGTCAAATAGGAACTCTTTTCTATTCTTAGAGGAACCGTCCTACTCTCTCCATTTTACAGTCGCACCTGGAATGAGAAGGACTCCAGCTTCCCCACATTCCAATTAATACTTCCCATTGTCTCTCTTTGGTCTTCACTATTCTAGTACAGGTGATGTTTTATACGTATTGGGTCTTGTGCCAATACCAAAAGATATCGGAACATGTTAATAATCTAAAAGAATCACCAAATCTTTGCTGCCTGACAGTCTCTGTTTGTAATTATTTACACTGAAGATTCAATTACCCCCCAGGACTAGGTTCACAATGAGGGTCCCCCTTTCTAATACATGCATTCTTCCTGCTACCATGGGGTTAACACACAGGCCTGATATGGACAGACTTCATCCAACTCGTTAAGTATTCAAGTTGAACTCCATGTTGGAGGAAGAACACTATCATCCTGAACTATGCCATTCATTTCAGCCTGGCCTATGATGCTGGCAATCCTGATTCTCAAGCTTTGGGTCCTGAGCTAAATTACGTCACTGGGTCGCCTGGTCCTTCACTTGCATAGTACTCTCCTGGTCCCAGAAAGCCCAGTTATTGTTGAAGCTTCCTAATCTGCTAAGCTGTTACACCCATGAGCACACTGTAGGCATGGTTACCTGTACACGTTCAAGACAGAAAGATCAGTCAACATTCTAACAGGCAGCACTACTTAGACTAAGTAGGTTATAAATATCAAGAAAGCACACAAAGGTGGGAAATGTGTTGGTGAGATGCCATAGGATTATAGCCAGCAGGATTTGGGGGTGGATTAAGCACCAAGGAGCTGTGAAATTACCTAAGAACTAATAAAATTTATTTTTAAAAGGTTTATTTGTTATGTAGACAGTGTTCTGCTTGCATATATGGTGCACACCAGAAGAAGGTACAGATGGTTGTGAGCCACCATGTAGTTGCTGGGAATTGAACTCAAGACCTCTAGAAGAGCAGCCACTGCTTTTAACCTCTAAACCATCTCTCCAGCCCCAAAAAATAAATTAAAAAAATAGTACTAGTACTAGTTCCTCTCCCATAGTGTTTTAGATATGAAAAGGTAATTAACATGACCTGCTGAATTCTACTGTTGTTATTATTGTTAATATTTTGTTTTATTTCTGTGTGTGTGTTGGTATATACATGCCCTGATATTTGTCATTATTACTAACTTTCTTACAATGCAAACACTATTATGTCAGTGACTTGTTTCAGATTGCCTTTAATTGTCTGAATTCAAATTTCATATGCTGTTTTACCTCTTTGACATTTTATACTCAAGGCATTTCTAGGTCCTCAAACTTCCCTAGGACAAAAAGGCTGGGAATTGTGTTTAGGATTTAACTTTCAGAAGAGCCATTAACAAGGACTTCCACTAGGGGGTGAGCAAGGAAAGAGGGAGGGGAGGAACTGGGTGGGCCACGCCTTCCAGTAGCTCTGCTACTGAAGTTCAACAGCTTTGTAACTGGATCTGAAGTAGGTTTTTGCTATGGTACTACCAGGGCCTCCTAGCTCACAGCAAGGTGTTTCTAAAATCAGAAACAAGAAACACAAAGGGAAGCAGGAGGAGAAGGAGGGAAGGATGCACAGGGGAACAGAAAATACGGGTTAGCTACTGTGTTCTCAGGGCAGGCAATTGAGCCCAGGTTAGGAAAGAGGAGAGAGAGAGAGAGAGAGAGAGAGAGAGAGAGAGAGAGAGAGAGAGAGAGAGAGAGAGAGAGAGAGAGAGAGAGAGAGAGAGAGAGAGAGAGAGAGAGAGAGAGAGAGAGAGAGAGAGAGAGAGAGAGAGAGAGAGAGAGAGAGAGAGAGAGAGAGGGAGGTGGAGGGAGGGAGGTGGAGGGAGGGAGGGAGGTGGAGGGAGGGAGGGAGGGAGGGAGGGAGGGAGAGACAAATAGAGAGACAGATAGACAAAGACACACACAGAGAGATGAGAAAGGGGAAGAAGGGGGGAGGAGGATGTGAGACTGGGTTAGAGAAATGAAAGAGAGCAAGCCCTGTTGGTGACACTTAGCACATTCTTCCTGAGGACAGCACACCCTCCTTGTGCAAGAGCCCAGATCCCCAGGTGCTGAAGGCTGAGGGCTGCAGAAGAGCTGCAGAGAGACCCAGCAAGCCATGGTGAGCCTTGCAGCTTACAAGATCTCTAGATATTCAAATGTTTCCTGGGGGCTGAAGAGGCAGGTGGCAAGGGGCAAAAAGCTCTCATTTCTTGTTTTAAGAAAGATAGAAACAAGCAAGCAAGCAAACAAAAGAAGCGTGTTATCTCAAAACAGTGACTCTAGACTATTTCTTGTTGACTTCTTCTCTTGGCGGTTGCTCTGATGAGATGCAGGAAGGGGTACTATTGTGATTTGTCTCAGGTAGTCCCTTTGTGTCACTGCAAAGTCCAAATCTCAAGCAAAACTTACAGTTTTAAGATGTGTAGAAAAATCTATGGCTTCCTTGTTTGAGCTATTCCGGATATAAAGCTTCTTAGTTGGAAAAAAATTCAACTGCTTTCCTTTTCTGGTGTCTGCCTTTACCATTCATTCTTGAATCCATCATGACCTTATGTGAGAAGACAGCAAATTCGAACATCACTTGTCCATCAAACACCAACAAACATTAGAAACACCACACAAGTAGTGTTTAGTTTGAGTTAAAGTTCAGCCCAAAAGGACACAGAATGGTTACTAAAATACAGAGCAGCACCCCATTGGTAATGATCAACAACTTGGGACTAAAGCATGGAATAAAGCGGTATAACAGTTTGGAGTACATTGTTGCCATTGTTTTCAGCTATGTTCCCTAAATATTTTACCTTGGATAAGGCTGATGAGCTTTATTTTGTATTTTAAGAAAATTGTAGGGCACCACCTAGAGGGGATACAATACTCCGATTGTAGTTCGGAGTTTAAATATCATGGTTCCTTTCATTTACAGGTGTTTCCATGGAGATGCAAGAGTACTCCACGGGGCTCATGGAACATCCTCAAGCTGTGGGTCTGGACAGTGCTCTGTTGTGGTATGTCGTTCGTATTCTGCTAAGTCTTTATACCTAGGATTATTCTGTGCTTAATGTTCATTGAGTGTATAAAGTTGCAGAGAAAATAATCAGGTAGGTGGCTATTTTCCTCTGACCTTCAGCATTTCTCTGAGCTCCCTAACACCAGCTTTATGTGTTATGTTCTCTAGTGAATTGCCCACATGCTGGGAACTGCAGGATGCCCTTCTACTATGGAGGAATGCAGCTAATTGAGAAACCTCTAATAATATGATTACTACTTGGAACACTTTTTTCTCTGTTTTCTTTACAATTTATTATCACTTAAAAAGCAATAAATATTTACAATAATGATAGATGGGAAGCTAAGTGAAATAGCATTGGTTCAAAGATTGAAAATAAAGAAAACAAAAGACCAATATACACTATTTGATTAGATACTGGCTCTTGTAACTTAAGAGTCTGACAAATAGTTTGAATATTGGCCAAAGTTGCCTATTAGTTTTCACCAAGTTGAAACCTTGAGAGCAAGAAGGACATAAAATCCATGTATATTACACAAAAACTGAAAAGAAACAATAAATTTGGAACAGATATCCAACATATGATAAAGCCAACGTTTTAGAAAACAAACAAAAGTGAAATAACAGCTTCTAGGTGTTATGTCCCTGTCCCTTCCCCAAGGCACAAAATTGATTTCATATCTTTTGCTGAGCACTTTAAGTTTTCAGAACAAGCAAAAACTGTGATTTCAAAGTTTAGACATTAAATTTCCTTGTGGTCATTCACTTAACATACATATCAAGGTAAAATCTAAAAAAAATAAAATCTACACTTAGAACTACAGATTTTCAAAAACATGTTTTTTTGTCTTTTCTTATTTTTAAATTTAAACTAGAAACAAGGTTGCTTCATATGTCAATCCCAGCTCCCTCTCCCTCTCCCTCCCCTCCTCCCACACCCTACCCCAGTCCCTACTCCTTTCCCCAGGCAGAGTGTCCATAATCTGTCATTTCATCCAGGGCAGGACCTAGGCCCTCCCCCAAGAGTCCAGTCTGAGAGAGCATCTCTCATTGTGGGATGTCCATTTGTATGCCAGGGATAAATACTGATCTACTACCCAAGGCCCCATAGATTGCCTAGGCCTCCTCACTGACACCCACATTCAGGGGGTCTGGTTCAGTCCCATGTTGGCCTCCCAACTATCAGTCTGGGACCCAAGAGCTCCCCTTGTTCAGTTGAGCTATTTCTGTGGGTTAAACAAGCCCAGTCTTGATCCCTATGCTCATCAGTCCTCCCTCTCTGTCTCTGGGTTCCTTGAGTTCAGCTCAGTGTTTAGCTGTGGGTGTCTGCCTCTGTTTCCATCAGTCATTGTTTGAAGGTTCTGTTTCCCAGAGTCTCTGGCAGTGGGATTGTAGGCTGGCATTCCCCTGATCCATGTCTAAAATCCATATATGAGTGAGTACATACCATGTTTGTCTTTTTGTGACTGGGTTACCTCACTCAGGATGGTTTCTTCTAGTACCGTCAATTTGCCTGCAAATTTCAAGATTCCATTGTTTTTTTTCCATTGAATAGTACTCCATTGTGTAAATGTACAACATTTTCTCTATCCACTCTACAGTTGAGGGGCATCTAGCTTGTTTCCAGGTTCTGGCTATTACAAATAATGCTGCTATGAACACAGTGGAACAGATGTCTTGTTGTATGAATGTGCATCTTTTGGGTATATGCTTAAGAGTGGAATTGCTGGGTCTTATGGTAGACTGATTCCCATTTTCCTGAGGAATCTCCATATTTATTTCCAAAGTGGTTGTACGAGTTGACACTCCCACCAGCAGTGGGGTAGTGTTCCCCTTTCTCCACATCCACTCCAGCATAAACTGTCATTGGTGTTTTCGATTTTAGCCATTCTGACAGGAGTAAGATGGTATCTCAGAGTTGTTTTGATTTGCATTTCCATGATGGCTAGGGATATTGAACACATTCTCAAGTGCCTCTCAGCCATTTTAGACTCCTCTATTGAAAATTCTCTATTTAGTTCTTTAGCCCACTTTTTAATTGGATCCTTTGGTGGTTTGGATACTTGCTTCTTGAGTTCTTTGTAAATTTTAGAAATCAGCCCTCTGTCAGATGTGGGGTTAGTGAATATCTTTTCCCATTCTGTGGGCTGCCCTTTTTGTCTTGTTGACTGTGTCCTTTGCCTTACAGAAGCTTCAGTTTCAGGAGGTCCCATGTATTAATTGTTGATCTCAGTGTCTGTGCTACTGGTGTTATGATCAGGAAGCAGTCTCCTGTACCAATTCCTTCAAGGGTACCTCCCACTTTCTCTTCTAAGAGGTTCGGTGTGGCTGCATTTATGTTGAGGTCTTTGATCCATTTGGACTTAAGTTTTGTGCATGGTGATAGACAAGGATCTATCTGCAGTCTTCTACATGCCAGCATTCAATTCTGCCAGCACCATTTTTTGAAGATGCTTTCTTTTCTGGAACACTTTTTTGTTTTAAACTCTACTTTCTACTAATACTTTGCTGTGCACCCAGTGAACTTCTATTGTCATATTACTTGAGGGCTGAGTTTTTGTTTTTGTTTGGCAGATGTTTTTGTCTTTCTACTGAGGTTACATGTTTTATGTTTAAGCCCTAGGGTCTCTTTATCAACACATTTGAACTTTTTAAGCCGTTGCCTAAGAAACTCATGTTTCCTTCTTCCCTAACTTGGAGTTTCAGCTCAGAAAAAAATGAACGCAGTATGAACACAGTCTTTGTTTTGTTCATCTTCTTTACTTTTGAGAGTTTTATACATGAACAATAAAGTATGATCATATCTATATGCCTTTTCTCCCCTTCAACTCTCCCCATGCCCCTCCCAACATGCCCCTCCCAACTTCCTATTTTCTTTCTTTTTTTCTTCCTTTTTTTTTTTTGATAACCTATTAAGTCCAGTCAGTGCTTCCCATATGTTTATGGATGTGATCCATTCACTGGAGCATGGGAAACAGCAATGGCAACTTCTCCAGAAGGAATGATGCTCCTTCCCCCACAAACTATTAACTGCCAATAACTCCTCAGCAGGGGGTGGGGCTGGAGAGCCTCTACCTTATCCATGCTTGATTTTGTGCAGGTCTCCTGCAGACAATCACAGCTTCTGTGAGTTCAAAATTGCATTAGCCATGTCATGTCCAGAAGACAGCTTTTCACAACACCCATCCCCATTCTCTGGCTCATATATTCTGTTTCTCTTCTACAACAAGCCCTGATCTGATGGTTATGGGGTTAATAGAGGTGTCCAATTTAGGGCCGAGAACTGAGCCTAATTTGACTGCTATCTACTTCAAACAGAAATTTCTCTGACTCAGGTTGAGAGCAGCTCAGGATTATGGCTCATGCATAACCATTTAGAAGGCAGTTTTGGTATTTCTCTGTAGTACTCACCTTATGAAGTAAAAGCTCAATAAGCTGATGGATGTGAAATCTTTTATCTTACCATGCAATCATATTTCACAGAGGTCATACCATACTTAGAAGGCCAATATTCTCATGCTCATTGTGTACAATTATGTTTTGTATTTGGTTTCTTCGAACTCCTCATGCTTGAAGCCCCCATATGTTTATTGGACACCATTGTTTGAGTAGCTTTGAAAGTAGAACATGGTATAATCAATTTTGTGTCCTTGCATTATTTTTATATATGTTGCTTTATTTACAATGAGTTTAGATGTACAACAAGTGGACAATGTATTGCAGCTTAATCTGCAATAAAGTACTATCTTCCTATGTTACAAAAAAGTATTTACAATTACGTCATTGCTATTTCTGATCCTATTTTACTTTACCTAAAAGAGAAATTTTGTATGTATACTGTGTTAGCAGTAATAAATATTGGCCTGTAGGAAGTTATCCCAGGATTAAAAAGTATAGTATGAATTTTAGAGTTGCTAGTGACACCATTTCTAAAGTATGTTGGAGAAATTGCACTTGAAAGAATGTTGAGAAAGATCTTTCATTAAAATAAGTCTACAAAGATATATTTATGTAAAATAGTTCTAGAGTATGATGCAAGTCTGTCAATGGCTAATGCTGCGATCCTGAGATGCATGCCTGTACTCTTGGGCTCTTGTTTCTTCATCTCTGAGTGATGGGCAGCCTGCATCAGTGCCTGGTCCTAGAACACCCTAAGAGTCATCATTTTCTGGTGTTTTTCAGACTTCCTGGCACACCATGGAACTCACTGCTGGACTTACCACTATTCTGAAAAATCCATGAACTGGGAAAATGCTAGAAAGTTCTGCAAGGAAAATTACACAGATTTAGTGGCCATACAAAATAAGAGAGAAATTGAATATTTGGAGAAGACATTGCCGAAAAACCCTACTTACTACTGGATAGGAATCCGGAAAATTGGAAGAACATGGACATGGGTGGGAACCAGAAAACCTCTCACTAAAGAAGCAGAGAACTGGGGAGCTGGGGAGCCCAACAATAAGAAGTCCAAGGAGGACTGTGTAGAGATCTATATCAAGAGGGAAAGAGACTCTGGGAAATGGAATGACGATGCCTGCCACAAACGAAAGGCAGCTCTCTGCTACACAGGTGGGCAGTGACCAGACTCCTGTCTGACTGACTTGGGAAGACCGAAGTTAGAATAATCAGACTCACTACTCAGAAACTGATAGCTCATTCTTAAATAACCCTAAATAAACCTTAAACACAGCACTTCTGGGCATTCTGTATGTACAACTGGTTCCTATGCTCAACACTTAGGTCAAGTTCTATCCAGGTTGTAAGTATGTTATGTGGGAAATTGGGATAGACAGCCTGTGTCCCAGTGACAGGCAGAAAGATGATGTTGAGAGATGGGTGGTTTTTTAAGGTCTTCCTCTAACACCTCCAAACCCATGTAGAACATTACTGTGAGTTAATTCATTCTAAAAACAAATAAATGTCTATGGTTAAATGGCTATACTAACACACAAATAAAATTTTAGCATGTATTATTATGTAAAAATTTATGAATGCTGAAGCAAATCTTTCTTGTGTGAGGAAGGGACTATAGATGTAATCACACTAACATGACTTTGTCTAATTTGCTCATAGCCTCTTGCCAGTCTGGGTCTTGCAGTGGCCACGGAGAATGTGTGGAAACCATCAACAATCACACCTGTAACTGTGAAGAGGGGTTTTATGGACCCCAATGCCAGTATGGTGAGCCTCTTTGTTTTTGTTTGTTTGTTTCTTCCTGCCAAAACCCACAAGAACCATAATAGCTTAGGATAGCATCTGGTTGAGACAACATAATTCTGCTGGAACAAAACAATATTAACCATTCTAAGAAATGGGAAGTTCTGAACAGAAGGTTGGGCTTTCACAACATTATCTTCCTGTTAAGATTTCATAAGTCAACATGCAGTTTCAATTTACTTCACAAGTGTTTTGAAGTACCACAAGGAACAAGGTGTTGAGATTTGCTAAAGCTGAGCAGTTTACAATAAGAAATCAGGTGTTGTAGATCCCTACTTCCAAGGATGTCATAATCTAATGAGCTTGCTGGATGAAGAAGATCTCTGAAATACAACAGAAACAATTATATTTGTCATTCGGAGAGTGAGGCATCCGGAAGGCATTCCCACTTTTCTATAGACAGACATGATGAGGAATAGTAAAGAACTCACATATAATGCACAGACTATGTCACAGTTATTTAATAACAAATTCTATGAACTAATTTTGACTGGGTATTTCTGGAGAACACAGAATACAAATTGTTAAATGTTCTGTACTTATGGAAATTATACTTACTTAATAGAAATTATATGCATATATACATATACATATGTATATATATATGTATATATATATACCCAATGATCAAGCTTGATGGAAAATGATATGAACAGGAATAAGCTTATGGGACAATCTCCTAATAAAATCACTTGCCCTTTATTTGCAATGAGTGGCCACTCAGTATCTTACCTCCAAGGGCAATTATCCTAGAAACAGCAGAGAGGAGTTTTGCTAGGACCACCAAGAAAGAGGGGATGTAAAGAGTCATTGGGAGCCTTATGACGAAAGGAGGGAGTACGCATGTGTAAAGTCAGAGGCTTGGACTCAATCAACCATTCCTGAAAGGAGCATCAAATCTTTTGATTGAGGCTGACTGAGTTTCAAAATGTATTTGATGTGTCTAACACACTCACTGGAAATTTATCAGAAGAAAAGTAGTGTTTTTAAGGAATAAAGGACTGAAACTAAAATTAATTTCAGTATTAACCAACTGGATTAGATCTGACTAATTCACTTATCCCTAAAGCTGAGACTCTTCCTAAATGCTTCACCTCCACGGTATCACTGGTCTGTCCATTAATTTCACTCCTTTCCAAACATTGTGTTTTCTTTCATGCCGCCCATCATTTCCCTTTCTGAATGTCTGATTGTCTTTTTTAAGTGGAATAATTTCTCTTGGGTTCTTTGATTGGTACTTATCCAAGGTAACAAACCCTTAGTCTTAGCATCTATCTTTTCCATTGTTATTCTGATTTAGTTTGTTTCTTTCATCAAATTTCCTGAATGTTGTGGACTAATATACTATATGACCTTTGGAGTGACAAATATATCTATGACCTCTAAATATGCTAAGGATATTGTCTTGGGTGACTACAAGTCAAGTGTCACTAGCCAGTTTTCTTTTTTGTGGTTGTAACCACATTATATGGAAATGACATATGAAATGACTCTAATATGAAACTATCACATCCTCCAACACTTTTGTAAGATAACATAATGCAAATTCAATTTTCAAAAATTCCATTTATTTTATGGGGCTGGAGAGATGGTTTAGCTTAAGAACAGACCTGAGTTCCATTCCCAGTATTCACATGATAGCCCACAGACATCTGTAACTCCATTCCAGAGCATACAAAGCACTCCTTCTGGCTTCCTTCAGCTCTAGGCACACAAATAGGGAACACATACACATGCAGGCAAAACATCTATAGACATATAATTCAATAAAATAATTTTTATTGGTTTAAATTTCACAGCACTATCACACTTGCATACAATGCACAGTGATTGTACTCACCCCTTACCCATCCCACTTCTGCGAATCCCTTTCTTCTTCCCAACCAGTGCCCTTATTATTACATTTTACAACTGGTACTTACCCAATTTCTCTCCTACTTGTCTACTACTCTTGCCCTTGTTGTCTTTCTCCTGTTAACTGCTGTAGTCCCTAGATCAGTTCCAGGACTTACAATCAGCTCATTTCAAGAAAGTTGCTCATAGTGCAGGCAGGTTGACCAATTAAAAGTAATCAGAACAAACCAGACACATATGACCATTCACTCTTTAACTTGTCCTTATCATTTGTCTTGGTAAAATCTGAGCTCATTAAGTTGAGAAACGATGCTTGACATGTACCACATGCTCACTGGTGTGATGAAAACAGTGAGTACTTTGCCTCTGCTTCTCTCTCCCTGGCTCTATAGCAATCTCAGCATTTTGGCAGTTTTCCACTTCCCACATACACTTTGTGTTCTGCTGGCTTCTCTTTGATTCTGCATGTGGGCAACACCTGACCATCTTTAAAACACAGTTCAGAGACCATTTCTTCCTAGAATATTTCTTTGAACCCCAAGACAGACAAGACTCAAAAATCCGTGTGATTCTCATAACTCTTTCGAATCCTGCTTCTCTCCCCCATTAAAGTGGTCCAGTGCGAGCCTCTAAAGGCCCCGGAGCTGGGCACCATGGACTGCACTCACCCCTTGGGAGACTTCAGCTTCCACTCACAGTGTGCTTTCAACTGTTCTGAGGGAGCAGAGCTACTTGGCATTGGAGAAACACACTGTGGACCGGACGGAAACTGGTCATCCCTAGAGCCAGTCTGTCAAGGTGAGTGACTTTCAAGTGGAGTCCTATATTTTGAGAAAACATAGGGGAGTCTTGCCTACAAGTCTGTTTCTTCTTATACTATGTAATTGAGTTTGATGCTTTTCAAGAGGGTTTTCTTCCCCTTACTAAAATGAAGGCAAAACTCCAAAACAAACAAGTAAAAAGAGCCAAATGTATTTAAAGCCCCTTGGCATTTATAATGTGACCTATGGCAATATATTGGAGTTACACATAAAGCCTTGATGAACCTCTGTTCAACTTTGGTTCTTTTCCTTTCAATAACACCCATTTTATGTGGTGCCCTACTTAGCACCAACCAGTTTCCTTCAGAGGTAGTAGAGGTCTTTCTTGGTTGTTTCATTTGGAACGTTTTTAAAGTCATCGTTTATTTGTTTTTCTCCTGTGTAAGCTCACAGGAGAATAACAACTGCTACGAAAAACAAAGGCCATGCTCTCTATTGTTTTCATTTGAAACAGAGGAGGCTACATTTGTTTTTTGACTGACAAGATTTGCCACAGGTTGATGAGAAAAGCAAAACTTGCAGGGCTTGTATTTATGAAGTCCTGGGTCAGCTTTCTACATTTATTAGTTTAATTCTCTAATGAAAACCAAAATCCATCCTTAAAATCATAGAACTGAATTGATGTAAGTGATGAATGGTATATAGTTAAGCCTGCCTTGGAGAATGGGGGTGTCTGTCACAATTGCTTGAGTAGATGTCACAACACATGGGAAGATTGAATTCTTTGTAGTAACTGTGAATGTCCCATGCGTGCTCTGGAGTCCCAGGCTGTATTCTATGACATTCCAGCACAGTTGGCACATCACCATGCTGGGGCAGCAGCCTGGAATGGCTACTTTATACTACCATGGGTTATCAGTGCTTTGTTGACTCCATCCCTGACCATTGTTACTCAATATCATATTAACAAAACAATCCTGAAAGCATTGTCTAAAGTAATTCCTACAAATTAGAAATTTCTAGATTCATATGGATGGTTTCAGTGATTAAGTATGGTGGCTTAATTGTGATCCGAGGCTGGAGAGAAGGCTCAGTGCTTAAGAGCACTTGCTCCTCCAGCAGAGGACCTGGATTGGGTCACATTAGGTGGCTCACTACCACCTGTAATTCCAGTTAAAGATAATTCTAGGCAGCACATGCAAGCATGCAGGTACTCATGTGCATAAAAGATAAAAACAAAACTCAGGACCAATATGATCAAACTACAAAACATGCATCATCTATGAAAGTGCCATAATGAAATCTATTACTATGCAAAATTAGTTTATGCTAATAGTAAAAGCTTGAAAAATGCCTGTGGTCATGAACACTGGTTTGTGTTGCTGTGTCTTCACTGAAGCCACTCAGTGCCAGGCTCTCACGGCGCCCGACCTGGGAGCTATTGAATGCAGTCATCCCTTGGCCAACTTCAGCTTCACTTCCGCTTGCACCTTCACCTGCGCAGAAGGAACTGAATTAACTGGGGAGAGAAAAACCGTCTGTGGCTCAGCTGGCATCTGGTCTAGTCCTAGTCCAATATGTCAAAGTGAGTAAGCGCTCAGACGTGCTGAGGATTACAGGTGGTGCTGATCGACTCGCAGAAGGTGGGAAGACATAACACACATTCACATTCCATTTCCCTCAATACATGTGGCCTAAAAGAGACATTTATACACACTCATATACTATAAAAATTTTGGCTATTCTTGGCCTCTCCTTTTTTTTATAAATTTAAATTAGAAACAAGGTTTCTTCACATGTCAATTCCAGGTCCCTCTCCCTTCCCCTCCCCTCCTCCCATGCCCTCCCAACAACCCCCCCAATATCCCCTTATTTCCCCAGGGAGGATGAGGCCCTCCATGGGGGTGTCCATAGTCTGTCATTTCATCCAGGGCAGGGCCTAGACCCTCCCCCAAGAGTCCAGGCTGAGAGTGCATCTCTCATTGTTGGATGGGAGTCGAAAGTCCATTTGTATGTCAGGGATAAATACTGGTCTACTACCCAAGGCTCAATAGATTACCTAGGCCTCCTCACTGACACCCACATTCAAGGGGTCTTGATCAGTCCCATGCTGGATTCCCAGGCATCAGTCTGGGATTCAAGACCTAAACCTTATCAGGTCAGCTGTTTCTGGGGGTTAAACCAGCCCAGTCTTAACCCCTTTGGTCATCAGTCCTCCCTCTCTGTCACTGGATTTCTTGAGTTCAGCTCAGTCTCAGCCTCTCCTTTAATGATAATTCTTTTTTTTAACCTCAACTCTCCTCTTACTTTTAAACCCATTGTCTACTTATTTATGAATTGCCCATATTTTCTACTCCACCACAATCTAATTTCTCTGTTAGTCCTTTAAAATGCTTCTTCAAAGGTCACCAATGACTACCCAACTCCAAAAGCAATGTACAGTTCTCTATTATCCTAAGCTGGTTCTTCCAAATCTATCTGTGTATGAGAAGAACCACATCTTCCTCATCTTTGTGTAGATACCCCCTAACAGAGTACATTTAAAAATACTAAAATAAGTGTGCATTGATTTATTTTATGAAATAACAGCTACCAGTGTCTGCAGAGAGTATAAAAGTGATAGGCCCCAAAGAGGCTGTAAAGGAAGACATCTGGGTGTTTGAAGTAGAATGGGGGGTGGGGGCAGAGAGGGGCAGAGCAGACGTTACAGTAAGGCTGTATGTCAGGCTCATTAAGTACATTTCCTTTCGAGTCTACCAAATTTTCATTTCCTCATCTTCAGCAAAACAACAGTTGCCAATATATAAAAGTAGATTCCTTCACCTGTACACATAAGAAGATGGATGTTTTTCAGATGAATATTTTTCAATGAAAGGCTGTAAACAAAACTAGTTTGTATTTAAAAAATGATATGTAGAAGTGTCCTTTTAATTTATTTGGATGGAAATGAAGGGAAGTGGTACAATTATATTGCTTTAAGATCGTTGCAGATCCTGGACATATAAACAATAACATTTTTGTACACCTCCTTTAAATTAAGGAGTAGTAACAGCTTCGTTTGATTGACAAATTACCCAGCTCAGATTGATGACTTCATTTTCCCTGAAGTTATATATTAAGTTTTCTAGCTCTTCTCTACTCACAGAAGTCAACCTTTAAATGAAACCAGGGGTAGAATATCATGATGACTACTTCTTGTCAGTATTTTTAGACTCATCTCCAGAAATTCCATGAATTGCAGATCTGAGATCTATGATCCTATAGGCACCAGGCCAGAGGCTAGCCCAGTTGCATACTCATCATGGGCCATCCCTTGCTACTTTCCTCATCTGTGGTATATGTTACTACTGGGGAAATATCAGGAGACCAAAATGCCAAGTATTGTGAGCTAGACTAAAGAAATAATGCTGTGGTCTCATACCATATGCCTTACTCCTCTTTCAGAGACAGACAGAAGTTTCTCAAAGATCAAAGAAGGAGACTATAACCCCCTCTTCATTCCGGTGGCTGTCACCGTTACCGCATTCTCGGGGCTGGCATTTATCATTTGGCTGGCAAGGAGGTTAAAAAAAGGTAAGTGTGTTCAATAACATCAAAGTAAAAACAATTTTAAAGTAGAAAAAAGAGAAAGAAACCCCACAGGAAATAAAGTGCAAGAGATTTAACTGAAGCAGGTGCCAAGCAGCTTCTAATCTGGGTAGACATAAGTCCCAGGAGACAGAGTTTAACATACATCTTCATTAAAAAGAGCCAGCCAATGGTTCACGTTAGGCAGACCTTTTCATGACGGCTTGCTATGAGGAGCTTGGCTAAATGAGACTGTGTAATGGTTCTTTGGTCCTTTTTTGTTTCAAGAGAGGATGCATTTTCCATTGTCTTCCAGGAGCCTGGATGACTTCAATCTTAGCACTATAGTGTCATTGGGAAGTGAACCTATTGTCATCTAAGCTTTTCAAACATCTGGCATCTTTAAGAGTCACATAACTGTCTGGGTATTGGCATGTCGAAGTTGTAGTGCCCTTGGAAGAAATACTTGTGGATTCTCTCTGAAATCTGTTCACTGAGGCTATAATCTAGTACACCATATACATGTTGGGCAAAGAAGGCAAAAAGTTGGGGAAAGGAGAAAAGGGGAGAAGGAGATCTTCCTCAAAACTTTATTCTCTGTTGCACAGGAAGTAGATAGAATACTACATGAGAACACACATTCTTCCTTTCGCCTCCTTCCTCCCCCCTGTATATTCTTTTGCCTTCAGGCTAGATCAGCACACCATTCACAGGCCCACAGTCTGCAGTCTTGGGTGTGCACTGCCACTTTTGCCCAAATTCACCTAGCAGATCTATTCAAAAGTGTAGAATTCGCATACCCCTGCAGCTTTAAAGATCCCCCTGTATCATGAATGGGGCCATGAATAACCTTAAAACAATCACTGACTCCTATGTGCTACTTCCTGTGATATGAGCTGATGGCCACTTACATTTCCCTTCTGAGTCATTAGTGTGTATTTTGTTACCCAGCCCATGTGCACTGGCAATTGAAGGAATGTTATCTACCAGTCTCAAATGATCTTCCACTATGATATGATCCTCTGTCCAAATTTAAAAATAAGAGGTGATAGATTCATTTCCATCAATCCATAAAGACAACAGAGGCTGCACTATCCATATACAAGAACACCACTAACTATAACGTGTCATCACGGAACAGCTTAAATGTCTCTTCTGCTGAAATTCCATAGACTTTGGATACTACCACCACACTATAGCACCAGCACAAAACAAAGAGTGACATTTTCTTTCACCACTGATTAGTCTTTCCACTGAGACTTCAAAATCTCACTTCAACTGTCTTGCTGCCATGAGTGGAGAAGGAGGCAATCATTCATTACACATGCTCCCCAAGTAAGGTGGCTATTAGCTCAATAACTTGGGGTGGGAAGTTCTATTAATAAGGAAGATAATGACCCCCAAATTCAAATTCGATCCATTTCATAGGTGGCTAAAGAAATAGAATTGAAGTCACATGTGTTTTGTGGGTGCTAGCTGGCTAAGGTTGTATTATGAGTAGGATGAGAAGAGCTGTAGGTTGTTTTTAAAGTTTTAACCTTGGAGTCAGTCATTTCTGTACAAGATTTCAAAATGATAACCTGAAAATGGCATGCCCCTGCTCTGGGAATTGGAGTGGGGCAAACAGGAAACAGATAACGGGCTTTGGGGCTAGTGACAGTTATGCCACCAAAGAGAGTGCCAGCTCCCAGAGATCACTGACTCTGGAGGGAAATTCAGGGTAGCTACATTGTCTTCAATAGTCCTCAACCGTCAGACATCTGCTGATCTCTCCAGTTTGAAAGTGAATGGTTTGTTCTCAAAAATTTTAGCCATAAGTTTGCTCTTTACAACATAAATAGTATCTCTTTACCCACCTGGACAGAAACTGGTAGAATTGGTGACTATGTCCCTAAGATAAACCCATAGAGATTAAACAGATACTTTCATAAGAATTATAGTGAAAATCATTCTGTATTTATACATTTTTTTGGTTTTTCGAGACAGGGTTTCTCTGTATTGTTTTGAAGCCTGTCCTGGAACTAGCTCTTCTAGACCAGGCTGGCCTCGAACTCACAGAGATCCGCCTGCCTCTGCCTCCCAAGTGCTGGGATCAAAGGCGTGCGCCACCAATGCCCGGCTTTTATACATTATTATATACATGTTATAATTGTATTGGGTTAATCAAACTGGAAAGGACCAAATTTTCTTCTTTCAGATGGATTTTATGAACCTGGTTCAAGGGCTGTCCATACCCTAACCATCTTGGGGTCTAGTTAGCCTTTAGCTCTCTTTTCCTGGGCCCACAAACAAGTACCCTGGCTGTGGGCTCAGTTAGAAACGCTCAGTACTCATAGCTTTTCTCACTCTCCAAAGCAATGACATTTTGAGGACAAGCTCTAAAATCATTCATTAGCAGGAGCTCAAGTCAGAGGTTACTCTTCCATTCAAAATAGCACCCCTCAAAAAGCATTTGCCTTCAAGTTCATAAGGCTGTTTTTTTTCCCTCGGTTGGAAGACTTTTCCACCTGACCCAACACACAGGGTTCCTCCACTACATGAAACTGAGCACATTCTCCTTAGTTCTCTTTTCTTCAAAAAAGAGACTCCCTCAGTAGGACTTGAACTTCTTCAGTAGGACATGACACCCCTTCAGTAGGACCAGGTTTTGTTTATCTATTGTCATTGCTTTCATTTATCCTAAAAGAAAAAAATATTTCTGTGAAGATGAACAAATGAACTTGAACTTGATTCTCCTTGATCAATGTATTTGGCCCATATCACAAAGAAAAGGTTTGAAGTACCAATTTCTTCAACTTTAAAAGATTAAAAAAGCAAGTGGGGTACTGTATATTATATGCCAGGCATTGGCCTACATACTTTAAAACCTCTTTTTTAATTAACCCAATAAGGAAGTTACAATCTGTGTGAAACAGTTCTATAATACCAGCTTACAGACACAGACATATCCCCTCTCAAAGGAGCCGTCTTCCTCAGAGAGCTTTCTTTCTGGTATTTTTTTTTCTTCCCTCTTCTTTCTGGGAGACCTCAATTCTTCAGACCATCAAGAATCAATATTTACATTCTTTTCCATTCAAGAATGTGGTTCAGTTCCCAAAATACACTTTGTACAGTCAACCAAAATTACCTAAAGAGCAAGGAAAAGAAAGCCCCAACTGAGTAAGCAAAACTAAGTTGGCACCAAGGTTTATGTTAGGACACAAACTTGTGTGTCACAGAGTCCTTTCCACTTGACGGAAGTGACTTGCAGATCTAGCCCCCATGCAGTCAGTCAAAAGAGAAAGCAGGGTATTTATAAAATATGAAATATATATGTATATATATGTATGATTGCATACATAGATGAAAATACATTGGTTACTCCAATCAGGCTGTACAATCCCCACTGATTTCTACTAACTAATAAGACCAGAATAAAATTCTCAGGATACATATGAGAAAAACTGAGAGACATTGACCCATTTGTTTGTAGTGTTAGCATCTAAGTCCTTTAGGGAGGGACTGGAGGAAGGGTGAAATGTGATATGAATTTATGAATGGGACAGTGGGCTTGACCAGGAGGGAATTCAGCCTAGGCTCTGATGTTGTGAGCAGCACAGCAGGTGGGATGGAGTCCCAAGAAGCACCTGCATCGTGCTTGTTATGCTTCAGCACCAAATGTTCACTGGTACTCCAGATCCACTTAACCACACGTGGGTGCCCACTTATCAAATGCTTAATGTACTTCAAAAGACAGTTATGGGTTTAGGCGTAGCCTTTACTTAAAAATTTTGTTTACTTTTTGGTGATAACATTTTTCTATTCTCTCTTCTATTTTTAGGCAGGAAATCTCAGGAAAGGTAAGTTTTTTGATGAAGAATTTCCACATCTATTTATGTCTATTTACCTTAGAATGCTTCCTGTTATAGACAAAGCAACCTCATGGAAGTTATTTACACGGGGGTCTCATACAAATGGCATTTCAAGCTAAAGTAGTTGAGCACTGACTTCCATTAAAAATCTTGACATTCTTGATGCTAGTGGAATTACATGATGCACAAATATATCTACTAAGAAAGGAGAATTCATATGACAGGAATGTCTCCTGATAGTCTCTAAATTTTCCTTGAGGGTTAGAAGCATGCTGTTATGTTTCTTCTTGTCTTAGCTTATGGGACCCAAACCTAACAATCGAGGAACAAACAATTCAATGAGTATTTCCAACAACTAGCATATCTGTAAAAGTTGCTGCCCAGGCACAGGCCCTCAATAATTAACACAAAAGGGTGAATGGCTACTGCTCTAATAGGCACTGGCCTTCAGAAATGAGGAAGAGCTGTGGAGTGTGAAACATACCCACCGCTTTCCTAAGGAGGATTTGTCCCAGTTTGTTCTCGGTATTCTAACTCTTTCATTAGACAATAATGTAGATTGCTGTGGAAAGATACAAACACTGGAAATGTCTGGCCTATCTGGCCAAAATGAGGAAAAGGAGGATTAGGAGGGGCCAAGAGACACAGATGAAGGAGGGTGAAAAATAGCTGGGGACCAGAGACACTAGGGAAAGACAAAAGTGGAAAGTCTCAGACGCAGCCAGAAGAGCTGCTGCATGTCCACTGGGTGCATGGAGGACATCAGTGGGAAAGCCATTTTCAGGGCACAGAATAAGACAGAAGTCAACTGGGGAAGGATGAGGACAATTATTTAGGACAAACAGCTGGAGGCAGAATGCATTTTGCTTTCTTTAGAATTTGCCACAAAGAGGGGGAGAGTTGTAGGGGTGGGGCCATGGGTCAGGGAAGTCTTTTCACTCTGTTTTTATTACTGTAATTGTGTGGATGGAGTCCTAGTTAGAAAGAGGTCTCTTTGGGAGCTGGCCTCCTACTCCATAGGAGGAAACCCACAGGATGTAATGGTTTCTTTTGTGCTCCTACCACTTAGTGAAAGTCTGTCTGTCTACCCAGAGTGGTGTTCTGGCCACAGCAACGCAGTTCAGTTCATTTCAAGGATTGGGAGGCCAGCTAAAGATGCTGACCCAAAATAGCATAAACTTAGTTACTAATTGCTTATTAACGGTTTGTTGATTTTTTTTACAAGTACTAATTAATACTTGTTTAGTGAACATTTTTATATTGGAACAATGCTGAGTGTTAGTGAGACACTCAGAGCAGTAAGTCCTTGGCTCTAACCTCAGTGAAATTATTGCCTAATTGAGGAGTTAAGACAGAAATATTTAGAAACGTGGAACAATAAAAGGCAGAAATGGTAATGGCTGATGAATTTCATACTGATGAAAAATCATTGGTCGAAGTGATCACAGAAAAATCTTTCAAAAAAGGCAGAGCCTGAAAGAGAATCATCAAAATGTTCTGTATAGAAAGTAACTGAAACACTGGCATGGTGAGATGGATCTTAAAGCAAATTTGGGGCTACAGGTGGAGTTTCCCAGAGCTCCTGGTTTATTGAGGGTCTGTGCAATAGAAGTTGAAAGGAAAGCTGTACACACACACACACACACACACACACACACACACACACACACACTTCTAGAGCCTATAAACTGATTGACTGCCTTGGGCCATCTCTCATTGATTAGCTAAGGTGATCCTAATTCACAACATTTTAGACTAGAAAGATGGAGGATGTTGCGTCAAAACTATCTTTGTCATCAAATAAATAACTTACCTGTAGGACTTGAGCCAGTGACAAGAGTTACAACAGTAAATAGCAGATAAAAATAAACTTTCATCGGATACACATTCCACATTGCATACCATTCTGAGTAAGTCTGAAATTATTAAAAACTGCCTACAAGTCTGTGTAGATAGGGATCATTGCTCTCCCTAATTACAGTAAAGAAGCAGAAGAAGGGGCAATGATAATAGCTTGAGGGAAGTCATTGAATAAAGGGAGAAACTGAGATTTGTAGCACCGGTATCCAGATATAATGCCCTGACAGCTATTATGCTTCTAGATTGCAGGCTCTTGGTTTCCATGTTAGAGTCGTTAGTACCAGAGGTCCTCCTCTTCCAGTAATGTGATTTATTTTCACACTGAACCATTGTGTGACAGCACTGAGGAAGGGTGGGGTGGAAGAAATAGGGTGTGTCTCTAGAACAAGCCAAGGGGAAGATGAACACTATCACACTAAACACCTTGTGATTTTTTTTCCCTGACTTACGTTGATTCTCACAGTTCTTTGTACTCACTCCTATTAGTTTTTGGCTAATGAATGAATGATTCCTTGAGCATTTGTGGTTTTGATTCTTGCTGGTTATTTTGACTCTTCTGCAAATGGGTTCTGTTTATCACCTCATTTGGTTTCCAGTTTCTAAATTCTACCTGGGTAAAAGCTACACCCAAGATACACAGGAAGATATGATGCCAACCTCAGAGGAGGGTATGTGTGAGATTCTGCTTTCAGAAACATTTTTATTTCTATACTGGCAAGCAAGTTTGCAGCTGCCATAGTGGTTTACCCTGACAGCTCATCACGAGACCAGAGCCTCAGAATCCGGTTCTCCTTTTGAAAAGTGCAAAGACACAGAAATATGGTTCTCCTCCACCCTTTCCAAGAATGGCACAGTTAAAACACAGAATACAGTGGCACCTATATTCATGAGTCTAAATTTGTCACCATTTCTCTAAATCATAGTCCACCAGAACTAATTTAGAACTAATACCACACTTTTTCATGGGTTTTATTTTCTCTGATTTCACTTTCCGTTTGAGCACATGTTCCTCTTCACCTCTCCACTGAAATTCAGCATGCAATGTCCTTCAAAGGGTAGATATGGAAATTAGCAGTATTGCAGAAACATGAATATGGCCAGGCATGATCTGTGGACCAGCAGGATGAACATCAGTGGGGAGCTTATTAGAGAAACAGGACTTCAGGCTGAATCATAGTTTACATTTAAAGTGTTTACTTGGAGAGGGAAGCCAGAGAGCTGACTCAGCAGCTAAGAGTGTATACTGCTCTTGCAGAGAATTCAAGTTCAGTTCCTAGCATCTGTGTTGTGTGGCTCACAGCTGCCTGTGACTCTAGCTCCAGGGAATCTGATGCCCTCTTCTGACCTCCTCAGACAACTTCACTCATGCACTCACGTGCGCTTAAAAACAAAATAAATCTTTAAAACATTTACTTGGGGGTGGTTAGTACATGAGTGTGTAGAATGTTGCTCTAGTGTCTCTGCTCCATTTGTTTTAAGGTCTCCCTTATCCTATCCACAGTTCCCAATGGGAAGCGATTCCTTGCAGCTCTTCTTCACGCGAGTGGCTGTTTACTCTCCTACTAGCTCTTCAAGGCTTGCAATGTCCTTGCCTCTCTCAGCTAGAGAATGTTCATCCGTATTACTAAATTTTCACATTTTTTGCCACTTTTAAAAGCTCCTTAGTTTAATTTTATGATCTGTTGCTTCTCTTTCAGGAAGGACGATCCATACTAACTCATCCTTTGTGAAAGGAAAAGTCACAGGGTACTAAAAATCCATCTGGAAACAGCTTCAAATCCTCCCGCAGAGACTTTGCATGCAGGCATCACCCACACTGAAGATGAAATGTTGGTCTCCATGTTTCTGGAAGGATCCCTACCTGGCCAACAGCTCCCCTAGGCAACTCCATGTTTCCCCATCCCCATAACCCTAGCCCATAATTTTTGTTGCTAAAGATACAGCTCAGGCTTTTACTATCTTTTCTGTGGAGGAACAAACAAGACTGTTGAGGCACAGGGCTGCTGTGGAATGGAAAGATGGCTGCTGTCACTCTTTTCTACCTCTCGTTGCCTGCTTCAGTATGCATCAGTGCCAGTCACAGTGAAAATTGGATACGTGCGTGACTGAAAACTCAGATTCCTTCAAGTCCATAAACTATGATAAGGATGATAAAAACGTTTACTTTCCACCTCCAAAGAAGGGAGTTCTACACAAGTCGGAAAAGCATCATTTGCTGTAGCCCCAATTCCTGTGAGTGGAAACCACACTCACCTTCCCTATCCCCTCAGGCGGCTGACTTCCACACGCAGATCTCACAGCCATGGAACAAATCAGAGAAAACCACCTGCTCTGACTTTTAGTTTTGAGTTTTCGCTTCTCTTTATTAGATCTCTCTAGGTTCCTTGAGGTCAGTGTTCTGATGATCACTGATTGCTAATAATGACGAAACCCACTGTCTTGGAACTTAGGAAAATGAGTTAAAATAGGTAGAAAGATTCCTGGGCTCATGCTGGAAGGACACCTTCTCCTTTCCTTAATTTCTCTTACTCAGATACATAAATTCTATTCTTCAAGTCTTGGGACAGCTGTCCCACAGCCCTTGCCAATTCTTTTATACTAGCTCTTTAACTTGTCCAAGTCATAAGCAATCTCATTTTTCCGGCTTCACTCTGCAAGATCTGTAATATGATGCATTTAAATACAGCCCAATTTTACAAACTTAGTCTGTTGTTCATGTATGAGAATATACACTGTTTTTTCCTAGCTGAGGATGTACCTTTCTTGAGGGAAGAAATTGTGCCAGCTCTCTCAAGTCCCTAGTTCGTTACTTGACACTTGGTAAACTGTTGGATTACAATCCAGGAATAAAGCTGTGTGAAGAGATTTCTGAAAGCTTGGGAGAAAACTCCAAATAAACAAGACCAGAGACCTGTAAATTCTGTTCCTATACTATATATGAATTTCTTCCTGGAATGTGTTTTCGTGCCCCTCCTGGTGTAAATGGGAGGGGGTTTACTTCAGATTACTCATAATTTTACTATTATTACTTAGATAATACTTCCAAGCATGGGTTATCCTTGTGACTGTATTTGGCTTGAACTAATGTGGCATTGTCCTTTTGACTGTATAAGCCAAAACTCATGTGACCTTGCCCTCATGACTGTATGCTGCCTGGACTCTGAAACCTTGCACATATGACTGCCTAACCCTCAAAACACAAACTTTCTGATGCCCTGAATAAAGATGATTATTGCATGAGACTTTAGTCCACCTCATTTTTAGTCTCCACTCTCCCAGGTTCACAATGCCAACTAGAGCAGTAAATGAATAAAGTACATGCAAATAAAAATTAGAAAAAGTATACAAGTGCAATGGTGAGTATTCAGCTAACTTCAGTGCCTGGATTCCTATGGGAAGACAAGATATTGCTAGAAACTGATTGGAGCTGGATGTAGCATGTCTTTAATCCTTGCACTTGGGAGGCAAGGACTGGGGCAGGCAAAACTCTGAGAGTTCAAGGCTAACATGCTCTACACAGTGAGTTCCGGGCCAGTGAGACACAATCAAACAAACAACAAAGGAACAAATAAATAAATGAGGACACCTAAATAAATGAAAGAAAGATAGGAAGGAAGGAAAGAATGAAGGAAGGAAATCAGTCAGCCTGGCAGTGGTAGTGTATGTCTTTAATTCCAGCAGAGGCAGGTGGATCTCTTTGAATTCAAGGCCAGCCTGGTCTACAGAGTGAGTTCCATGACAGCTAGGGCTGTTACACAGAGAAGCCTTGTCTCAAAAAATAAAAACGAGAGTGAGAGAGACAGAGACCGAGACAGAGACAGAAACTGGTTGGAAATATTTTCCTGTTTCATGGCCAATTCTGCTTTTATGCACATTTTTATATCTTGTGAAATAAGGATATTTTTCTTTCTTAAAGTCATTTAAGGTTCTATTGCTATTCCAAAAGATCATTCATCTTGTGTGCCTACTAGTAAGTGTCAATCACACTCACAGGGCTTAGGGTGCACCCTTCAGAGAAGTACAAGCACAGAGAACAGACTCAAGTACCCAGAGCCCTGCCTAAAATGCTTAGTCACTTAAGACATCAGGGACAAGAAGCTGAAAAGAAAGAGACGATTTCAAAACACAGTCTTCTATTCACAGCATAAGGTTAATATGTGATTTGAAGAATTTTATTATAATGATTAGATAAATATCCTCAAAAACTTGTAGAGTTTATTACTTTGAGATTTCGTTTATTTGCCTTAATATAGGGAAGTCTACCTGTTTACATCCTAGGGTTATTGTGATGTTTGTCAAGGGTTATTTCAATGTTGTGAAACTGCTTTGTGAACTGAAACTTTAAATTTTATTATTGAAAGGAATGTTACCACCAGCCATATTTAGTTCTATCCTGGGACTCTGGGTTATCCAACCTCTGGTTCCCGGCCATCCAGGCAGTGTCAAGCATGGGCTGCCTCTTCTGGTTTGGACCTCAGGTTGTAACACTCATTGATTAGCCACTCCCACAAGTTCTGTACCACCATACTCCAGCACATCTTGCAGGGAGTACACATTGTAGCTCCAAGGTTTTGTGGCTGGTTTGATTTCCCAGTCCCACTGCTTTAGTGGCACCTTGCCTTGTCAGTGAACTTGTAGAGGTGGCCACACCTTTTGGGGTGGTTTCAGGTGCAGACATGACCAATTAAGATAGAGGAGAGGCAGGCTCAAACTCTCTTGGGTTGCAGAGAGCATCAGAAGAGCTGAGACTGCATTTTCTGGAGCAGGAAGACAGAGGTGGTTATTTACTCTTATCTGTGTAAATCCTTCCCTAATAAGCACCTATTTATCATTTATCTTCGGTCTGGTGAACTCATTTAAACCCTGCCTTCACACTGCTAGGAGCTTTGCCTAGCTATAGAAGATAGCCAATTCAGGCTCTGCATCCCCACCCCACCCCGTTGCTAGGATTCTTCACTAGAGTCACTCTTGTAGATTCCAGGGAGTTTCCACTATACTAGGTTTCTATATCACCCTCCAAATGCCCCCCAATTCCAGTAATCTTTTCCAGGACTCTCCCTCTGTCCTTCTCACCCCACCTTCCTGTTCCCATCCCCACCAGTCCCCAGGCTACTCACAAACTCTATTCTATTCCCCTTCCCTGGGAGATCCATGTATCCAAACACGAATAGTAAATAAATAAATAAATAAATAAGATTTTTAATGATATCCAATTATACTCATAGATCAGTGTCAGTTGTTGCAAGAGGGGTATCATCCAGAAACTGATGGGCAGATCCAGAGACCCGTAGCCAAACACTAGGCCGAGCCAGGAGAACCTTGTAGAAGATGGGGAGGAAGGATTGAGAAGCCAGAGGGGTCTAGAACACCACAAAAACATGGCCTACAGATTCACTTAAGCAGGACTCATAGGATCTCACAGGGACTGAAATGACAAACATAGACCTTGTATGGGAGTGAGCTAGATCCTCTGCATATACCTTATGGTTGTGTAACTTGGTGTTCTCGTGTGACTCTCCAGAATGGGAGTGATAGTGTCTCTGACTCTTTTGACTGCACTTGGAACCCTTTCCCTCCTGCTGGATTGCCTGGTTCAGTCTTGATAAGAGGATTTGTACTCAGTCTTATTGTATCTTCTTAGGCCATGTTCTGTGGATATCCCTGGGAGGCCTGCTCCTTTTTTGGGGGGTGGTGATAGAGAAATGGATCTGGGTGAGATGGGAGGTAGGGTGAGAGACTGGGAGGAGTGGAGGGAGGGGAAACTGTAATCCTGTAATCAGGATGAAATGGACGAGAGAGTAAAAGTTTAAAAGAAAGAAAGAAGGAACAAAAGAAAAGAAATGCTACTGGGGCCTGTTGCTATACAGACAAATATTACTGGCTTAAAGAAAAGCAGAGATGCAAATGCCACCACATAGCTTTAAATTTCAAACTAAAGCTCAGGAAGCTGGTAGCACAGTCTTTGGAAAGGGAGAGCAAGAGAAGGACAGAATCACAGCAGCATCTGGAAGATGAGCATATCTGATCATTTAAGAGGGAAGAGAAATGGAAGCAGGAGATGTCAGTCATTAAATGCAGTTATCCAGGCACAAACATGATGAAACAGGAAGTGTCCCTGGGAGGTATCCTGAAGCCTTTGTTCTCTGATTAGTGGGTGGAGCAGGGTGGGGTAGACTATGGGAGGGAGGCTACCAAAGCCCTTAGAAAGGAAAAACATAAAACAAAGATTCTGGTTAAATATGGCTTATGCAAATGTCCCTTTTTTCAAAGATCTTGGAGGAAAGTCCCTCCTTTGTTATTTTCCCCCTGCATAAACTTACCTTCTGTATTCTTAATATAGGATCAAGTCAAGGATGTAGTCCAAATGCCTGTATATTCCTAACGACAACTGGAGAAGACTGGGAATAGGAAAAGGCCCCAGTTCTAAAATGCTCTTTAAAATGCAGTTGGTAATCAGTTCTGCCCACTCACAAGAAAACAGGGTTTTGAAGTTTCATGAACACAGTTTACGTAGAGACACTGACCCAGACTGGTCAGCACTCTATCAGAGTGCTGGGCAGCCATCAGCAGCTCCTGCTTACTAGACTCACATTTGCCTGTGAGGTTGGTTTCATGTAGAGTTAGAATCAGCAGGTAGCAAGCGCATTGAATGATGGACTGACTTGCACAACTGTACTACTTGCTCTGGAGTATTTCATAACCTTCTAAATAAATTGGTTCTCCTTGGAAAGCATACACCTGCATCAATGGTTGCCACAGTTTTCTATCATAGACATACTGATGCAGGGTGGTATTTACATGTTAATATTTGGAAGTAATTAGAGCTATAGGAGCACCGGTACCGTCAAGCTATACTCTGTGGCTTCTTTCGTAAGTAGGCTCCTGAGTCTGGTGGTGTGTGAACCAGTCACAACTCAACTGAGCAAAAAGAGCAGTTTCTGAGCAATGTTCCTGATCCTACTTCCATCACCAAGGATAACTGGAGAGATCTGCTCTTGCTGGCAGCAATAATAAGTAAATGGTATGGGTGTGTATGTGTGCACGCACACACAACTTAAGATAACTCACCCTGAGAATACTTAAGGCTTCTTACACCATGCAATACTTTCAAGGGCTCACTTATGCCTCTCATGGACAGATCAGCACTTCCCTGGAGATTCACATGTGAAAACACCCCAGAGCACCACATAGCCTCAGTCTCTTGATCTCTCTGCCTCAACCACTACCCATCTGCTCATAATCCTACCTTACAAATGAGCACTGAAAATAAGCCTGAATCTGAACTAGGCACTGAGTACTTTTGCCAAAAAAGCACTGATTCTTCATTTGGGCTCACAATTCACCTTGGATCCCAGAACAATACCTTACAGGATGGATAGTTATCTGTGATGGTGAGGTGGGATGCTAGATCCATGTTTCTGGTACCTAATAGCTGTGTAGATCACTCAGGCTTTCCTACTATCCTACTCAGAATCCCAAAATAATAGACTGTGTGTCGATTCTCTGCTGGGAATGGTGTAAAGCAGAGATTTATTTGATGTGGCCATGCTGGGGAGAGGAATAAGTAAGTGGGATCCAGTGACCCCAAGTCCATTTTCACACTACTGAAAGGAACTTTATCCTTAAACAGAGCGAGGGGCAAGAGGGAAGGGGAATTAAGCAGACCTGGTTGAGTCTCGTAAGACAATTACTTCTCTATTCTAGCAGATGGGTAGTGGTGAAGACGGAGACTCATGAGTGCTCAAAGTGTAAGAATAAATGACTGAGAATGCTCTCTCATATACCCACTAAGACACAGAGAACATCACAGAAGAGTGGACCTATTGGCAATTGCTGGCAACTAGAGGAGGGAGAATCATCTTTTGGGTGGGGTGGCCACTGGCTGCTTGCCCACGCCCCAGGAGATAACCTCACAGCCGTGCACAACTGGCAGCATTGATTGGACTTAGTGCATTGCTAAGAGGACTAAGAAGCTATAAGGAGACATTTGGAGAGCAGAGGAGATAGCTCAGTGGGTAAGGTGCATAAACTGTGAAGACTGGATTTGGGGTCCCAAAACCTGCAGTAAAGCAGGAATGGTCATGTGTAGATACTGCACATGGAAAGGAAACATAGAAATAGGAGGTCTTTCCATTCAGCTAGCTAGCCAGACTAGCACAAAATTAAACTTGGAGTTGAGCAAGACACTGTGCCTCTATATCTACATCAAGTGAGGCGTGATTGATAAAGTCACCTGTTGT